TGACTCTCCATTGCACATTTTCTATAAAAAAACCTATTCAGTGATGACTGAAGGGCCTGAACAGATGGATTCTGGATTCTTACACTGTTTCTGATAGTTTCACAAGAAAAACTGGGGAAAAAGCTGCTCCATGTAAACACGGAAACATAGAAGATTGCAATTCTGTGTGGCATTATATATGTATTTGTTTTGATTCCATCTTGTTCATCTCTTGTAAATACCTGATGTCATTAGCACAGGAGACATCCGACATGTTACAATGCACAGGATGTTGTTCTCTCCCCAGTGGATATATTTGTGCTTTTCTGGTCACCATCGCCCTGGGAGCTCTGGGTGCTGCTCTAATCAATACGAATGCTTAGAGCCACTTGAGTGGAAACATGCTGTAGTTGATTATAAGAATAAAAAGAGGGAGGGAAATAAAAGTAGTGGATTGGGGAGAAAATACTGAGTACAAGCAGCTTTTGTTTATGAGGAAACTTGTGACCTGCTATTATTTTGGCAGTATGGGAGGATCTTTCACTTGCTAGAGAACTGCTAGCATTGCAGATCTGCACTAAACCACTGCTGATACAGCTGTAATGTGCTAGAAACACACACTGAGTCTACATTACAGACTTTGCTTTACTGGCAGAGCATTTGAAAGATGACCAATGATCAAAACTTCGCCAATATGCTTGGTAATTTCTTGTGCTTGTCTTTACACAAATAGATTCCCTGACAGGACTGAGAGAATGTGTGTGTTTGGGGCAGGGAAATGTGAATTATTATCCTTCAAAAAAAGAGGTAAATAAAAGTGCAGAAAGCTTTGCATAAACACAGTGTGTTTGGTGTGTCCTGGAGAGACACTGTGCCACTCTCTGCCAGGTGACACAGAGCTCTCTTCTCTGCTCCCAGGGCTGAGGAGCAGCTGTTTGGAGTCTGCCATCTGCTCCACTACTCTCTGTTCTCAAAGCTGCTAGAAGCTGTAGGCATGGAGCACAACAGAAAGTCTGTCAGCTGTTCTCAAGCCCTTGTAAAGAGTGTAGTTGTAGTGAGGCTCTGGCCAAGATGTGGTGGCCTGACCTTTGATGCTCTGGATGCTTCTCCCTTACCTGCAAAGCTGTTTGGTAGAGACTTCTGAATATGCGCTCTTAAATTTGAGGGGAAGGAGAGGTGGGGACATCTTTGAACTGGTGACTGGTTTGCAGCACTCCCTGCTAGTGTGCTGGGGATTTAATGACCCAAATAAAACCAGATAAGAAGTGATCTTATTGGGTTTCTGCTTCCTGAAGGAACAGGTGTATATTCTGTTTTTTCTTTCTGAGGACTGGTATGTAAGGGGTCAGTAAGAGTCTTATGACTGACCTGAGGTATATAAATACACTGTGGCTGTGGTGGTGTGACAGATGGTCTTCTGAAGTGCAATACAATAGAGAACTAAATTGTATGGCAGAAGAAAAACAAGGGAAACAAGAAGAGCATTAAGTTCTGTTCTGTAACTCATGCCTAATCTAAAGTATGCAAAATATAATTGCTTTCTACTTCCGTGTGTAACTTTATTTTGGCCCAAGGGTAAGTATATCAACAGCAGCTTTGCATAGCTCCTTTGTACACATTGCACGTGTCCAGTAGTCCAGAATCTTTCAAGGAGGAGGAGGCATATAAATTTGTGTTCTTTATTAGCTTAAGTATTGCTTCACTCTTTAACTTACCACTTAGATCTATACTCAGGGTTTTGAAACAAGGCTTGTATTTTACCCTGAGTGGCTGGAGGATACGAACTCCATGCTCCAGCCACTGTTGATCTGACTTTAGCTAGGGGTAAAGCTGCAATGCCTCATCTGCAGTGTTACAACATGCTTTAATTCTTTCAAAGTATTTTTTATTGTGGTCAAAACACACCCTTTTTGTTAGCAAGGAAATAGCCTGTGGCAAAGAAATTCTAAGTGTGTTTACTACTAGCCTGTGTGCCCTGAGGTTGGGTGATTAGCGGTGCATGTGTCATAGAAATGGGGCTCACACATGTTTGTTCGAAGACTCTCTTAAGGTAGCATCCTTTCCATGTAACACACCCCATCAGCTTGCTTCTTCCCAGCACAATTTTCTTCCCACTTAGGAAATAGCCACAGCATTCCTTCTGATTCATGAAGATTAAATTATGCTTGGTTCAGCTCATCACCAGGGTGTCATGGGCTTCTTTGAAAGGAAGATTTTAACAATAAGTGACATTCTTTGCTTACAGAAAAGGTTTGAAGTCTGTTATGGTAATTGCAGTGGCTTCTACTTTTGCACTGGTTGCCATAGGTACTGTGGTTGCTTTCAGATACTCTCCAGCCAAGTGAGACCTTGTAGCTCTCAACTAAAGCAGCAGTTCTTTCTCTTTTTTTAATTACATATTTTGTTAACTCTCGAAGTCTCTGATTTAGAGGATGGAATTAGAACTGGTAAACACTGAACATGGATGAAAGATATCATTGCCTTGGAGCTCCATTTACCTGTGAAAAACAGTCTTACCAATATAGTAGTGCTATAATGAAGAGTTTATAAAGTAATCACAAATATATTCTGTTTAGAACTGAAACTGAACTAAACAGGTAGGGTAATTTTTTAGAATTTTGACTTTTGTCAGTGTGTCAGAATCAACTGTTGGATGTTGTTGCTAGCTGCATAACAGAATCCCAATAAACAACCATTTTCTTAGAGACTTGCAGAACTGTGGAGGAGAGGAAATGCATAGGAAGCAAAGCTGAATGAAGCATATCAGTACTGAGGAATCTCTGGATTTCCTTTTTGGGAACTGGGTGGCAACTGGAAAAAGTTGAAGGATGTGACATAATAACTTGTAGATCTTTTCTTTGTTACAGGCATCCTGTAAGCAGTGATTTATACAGGACTTGTACATTACAGTACTTGGTAGATTGCCTTTTGTTTAAGCTGTTTTTTGTGGACCCAGTTCAGCAAGTCAGGGCTCTGGAAAATAGAAGTAGATGAAGTTTCAAATCAAAGTGTTAAGCCTTCTTCTGATGCTGAGCTGGAACCCAGGCTAGATTTGAATTTTTCCTGCAGCATAGCAGAGAAATCCTGAAGATGACTGAGGCTATGGCTCTGACTGTGCATTTAAATGCATAGCTGTTTTGCTTAGTATCTTTTGTCTCTGTTCTTGGAGCTGAAACCTGCACTGACTAAAGCTTCTGACTTTCAGCATTGTCAGCTGCACATCTGACATTGTATGGCTTATATTTTCATATTCCTTTCTTTTCCCTCTATTCAAACAAAAACAGGAAGCAGGATTTTGGGGGGTACCATTTCCGTTTTGGATGTAGTTCTTGCCTGACCTTTTAAAAGGTTGTCTGTCAGTGTCAGAGTGATTATAAGCAGGCATTGTTACTTTAACTGGGCTAGGAAAGGATCTGACTGCCCTAAACATACTAGCCTTAAAAAAGAAGTAAAAAGCCACTTTCTGTTTTCCCTTGATGTGACATGACTGCAGCTAGCACTGAAAGGACTGCAAACACATTGCCATCTATTTGAAGTACCGAAATAACTCATTAAAGTAGGCCGTGAGTGCCACAGAAGGCGCAGCATAAAGCACACTTGTGTTAGCAGCCTGCTGATTAGCACAATGCTTTCTGTTTGCTGCCACGGGAGGGACTCGTACATGGTTGGGAGGATGTGACAAGGCCTCTTTTTCAGAGACACAATGGCAAAATGCATTTCGGCTTGTTGTCACTGGGATCTAAAACCTCGTGGTCTCCCCCTCCATGCCCTTCTGCCTGCACAGAGCCAGTCATCACTGTGGAACATCTGCAGGGATGAGTGGCTTCCACCATTTCATACTCTGTAGTAAACCAGTTTTATGCAGGACTTTCTAAATGCTTCCTGGCAAAATGAAGTGGTGTCCTTGACTTGCTGCAGGTGCCTTAATGTGGTATTTGCCTCAGTTATATGATTTGATACTTTGGTTTAATCAGTTGCTCCACAAACGATGGATAAAATTATTTTTATGGACAACCATGATTATTCTTTACTGTGCTCATAGAAAATGCCTGGAATGTGTGTTAGGTACTGTAGTGCTAACTGTAGTTGTTAGTGCTTGCCATCAGAATATAGTGAATATAAGAGTTATTTTCTAGTAGTCCCATTTTAAAGCTGGATGGGACTTAGTTGTTCACAGATTCAGAGGCATTATAGCAAGTGTGTGCATATAAATATATGCACGTATATGCGTATAAAGCATTGAGTAAAGAGGAGAGCGTGCATAGATCATGTAGCATTATTGTCTTCCAGATGCTTACCTAAAAGCTTCAGCTGAATCACAAGTCTTGGAGTCTTATCCTAGTCCCCAGTGCCAATTCTTTGCACCTTTTTCCTGGGTAATTTCTTTGGGGAACTTCCAGGCAGGAGAACCGGAATGATACAGACTGTAAGTTAGCATGACTTTTCTTGGGCAGGAAAGGAGAGTCTTGAGTAATCTTTTTGGAGAGTTGAGTGTACCACAATGCAGGGATCTTGATACACTCTGTGGTGAGACAGCTGACTGCAAGTAAGAAATGCTGTGTAGTGAGTGGAAGAAAATGTTTGTGTTCGGAGGCTGGAATTGAAGGTAGCAGTTCCCATCTGAGAGCTCAAGAGAAGGAGGTACCATCTGTGACTGGAGTGTGAGGCAACAGTTTGAAAACATGATTCATACGCTTCTTCCTCTTTGCATTCTTGAGAAAGCAGTTGTCTAACTGAGGATCTTACTAAAGATTTGCATGAATAAATATTGAACATACGGTTTCCTCTACTAGTTTACTAATGAAGTTGGAATTATTGTGGGTAATGCTTTCTAATTCTGAGGTCACCAGCCATACATAGTGAGGGTGTAGCTCAAATTAAACTAACACAGTCTATTTTGTCTTCCCTTCCTTTTCTTACCAGCAGAGGTATTTCACCACTTCTTGCAGCATCGTTGATCCATGCTGCAGTTCATGAAGTTCTCCAAACAGACTTGACTGAATTTAAGCTGCAAAATGTGGAAACTGAGGGAGAAGCTGATGAGGAAAGGTTCACCTGTAAGTATACATTTTCTTTCTGTGGTTTTCCCAGAGGCTCTGTCAGAAGACTCCAGTGTTTTGAAATGTTTCCCAGATTATTTGGTTAGGCTGCCTGGCAAGCAGCAGTGAATGGAACTTTATTTGCATCTATTGGGTATCTGTGGGATGAATAGAAGCTGTGCTAGTATTGTGGGCAACTTGCAAATGTGGTGTCTGGAGCCCTGGACTGATTATGTGGATTGGCATTCTGGAAAAGTTAGAGAGGGCCCTTTTCTCTTTGGTAGGCTGGCCTTAGCTAATACTCCTATGTTTTGACATTGGCATGATCACAGTTGCTGTTGTGCAGCCACACCAACACCTTAAATTCATTCGTATAAACCATCTTGCTTTTGTCTTGGGAAGCAGATTTGGGGACCTCTGGCCTCTCCACAACCTTCACATCCTGAAACTCCAGATCTTTTTCTTGGCAAGTTCTCAGGAGTCTCTGTCTTTATTAATTTCTTCTCTTCCCACCCTCCCCTGGTGGGGATGCTGAGGGACGAAACACCTGATGCATGTTTTTTGTACCTGGTGCCTGCATTTTCTCCTGAGTGAACTGGGGAGGGAACAGACCTTGGTAGCTGAGTACTGGGTTTGTGCCTCGTGTAACAGATGGTCCTACTGCATTTACGTGCTGAAGTGCTTAACATTAGACTTCACCAAACCTGCAGTCCCAGTGCCAAGAATTTAAATGGAGCAGGATGCAGGCAGAGCAGAAGATAAAAATGGAAGAGAGATGTCTTAGGCAAACTAGTCTGTCCTGTAAAGGGAAATACTTGCCCTTCCATTTTCCTGGGATGACTTGCAAGGCAGCCCAGCGTGCCCGAGAGGATGCTCCATGCAGAGTGCGGCAATGGCCAGGATACAAGACTTTCCAGAAGCCTGTTTCAGGATTCACCTCCAAGTGTGCAATGGCAGGAGAGGGAACACAGTTAATCAGGTCTTGCTGCACCCTGTGTCATCCCTCACCTTAATGCTTGTGACCTGCCTGGGGAGTCTTGGTGAGTTTGGAGCACTTTGCGTGGCAAGAGTTGGCTTCTTATCGGCTCTGCTGAGGTCTAAACAGCATGTCCTGGCTTTCCTCCTTGGTGCAGGGCTGGAAGGGTTCACCTTGGCCAGCCTTCCTCTCCAGGGCTGTCAGGGTGCCCCGGGCAGCCTTGTGCCCCCGGCCCTGTGCCGCTGCCCGGTGGTGCTGTGCGGGGCCGGAGCGCAGCAGCCCCTTGTGCAGCTGGCCAGGGCCTGCATCAGCCCCTGGGGGTGCTCTGCTGGGAGCAGGCTCTGCAGGCTGCCCAGTTCCTGCAGTTTCTTCCTTCTCTGTTGTCTGCCTGTGAGCATGGACCTCACTGCAGCTAACCTGGCCTGGAGCAGGACTCTGCCTGCGAGGGGGAGCCTGCAAATATGAGTTCTGTGTAACCAGATCACTGCAACAGTAGGATAATACATAAGTGCAGGCAGCAGTGCTAGCTACAGCCTGGCTTTGTGCAGAGGAAACTGAGGGAGATCAAGATACTGATCTTTCATAACTAGAAGCTCTACATTTTGCTTACAGCAACATCCATAAGCATAGGCAAAGTCAGAAAATCCTTAGATGAGTTCCATCTTGAATAAGTTCAGGTTCTCTCTCATGATTCCTTGTTGACAAATGCCCCAGAATCTTCCCTGTCCTGGTGGTTGACACCTTCTTTCATTTCCATCTTACATGTTCCTGTCTATTTTATGCTTGTTCATTCTTGTGTCACCATTGCCATTTAGATCAAATCACTGTTCACCATTCCCCTGTTGAACAGGATGGAAATCTGCTCATTGATCAGCTGCTTGCATTGCCTAATCTCAGCAAGGAATAAGTACTTTAAAGGTGTTCATTTTTCTGCACATTTGGACTGTGTGTTTTTTTCCCCTATCTTGTAATTGCTATTAAATCACTTTAACAGTACAACTAGGAAGAAAGATGTTCCCTGTGCTACAGCACGGTATGGACTCTCTCATCCTGCACTGCAGTAATAACTCTGGCAAAAAAAGGATTCTTGGAATGAAAGAGAAGTGATTATGTAAGAGCAAGGTGTGTGTGCCTGAATGAGTACCACTGTTTGTGGTATACTGCAAAGGCATTTCTGGTGTTAAGGTACCAAATTCTGTGTCAGATTTCACAAGCTTAATATTTAAACAGCAATATGTGTCTGAGTCTTCTGGTCAGTATTAATCTAGACATTTACAGGTATGTAAACTAACAGCTGTAGACAAGGCCAAGATGCTGTCCTGTTTAGTTATTTTGTGTATAGAATGACTTAATATTTAAGGGTTTTAATAAATTCCCCATTCACACCTGTCTATTAAGCAAATCAAAAGTAGTTTTGGTTAATGTCTAGTGGCTGCTAATCAAATATCTGTGCATAAATTTAAGCTTTCAATTCTCCAGACACAGATGCATCTGAAGCTGTGTCCATCCAGTGTTGCTGAGAAAATGAAATGCTTAAGAACAAGGAGTTACAGGAATTCTGAGGGAGCTTTAATGCTACCAGGGTTGGCAGGTGCCAGGAGAGAATAGAAATAGGAAAGACAGTTCATGCACTGCAGTTCTTTAGGAGACACATAAGTGACTAGCAAATTATTGTTGCTCTGTAGATATTCTTTTCAATGCTTTCTGAAGTTGATTTAGCATTGAGGCATGGTGAGGTTCCTACTCAAAAACAAAACTTACACATTATTACCAGTTCTGAGAGAGGCTGAATTGCACAGCTAGACACAATGGCAAACACCAAACCATTCAGTCTGATGAACAGTAAGTTTGGATTAATTGATCTTTGGGATCTATCCAGAAAAGGATTTGGGTGTCTGGCCGAAGCTTTTCATGCTATGCCCAATGGGTGTTTACAGTTCTGCTCTGTAATGACAAAGCTGGAAAGGAGCGGAAGTGTTCTTGTATCTCTTCAGCTCCTACAACCATGTGTATTTAAAAAGATAAAGATAACAGATTAAAATTCTAATCTGTTCAGCTCAACTAAGAGTTGAGCTATTGACCTCAGCAAAACATTCTCAGACTTCCTTGTTGTTTCAGTGGAAGTGGTTCAGTAGGACATAACCTGACCCAAAGCCAGGGCAATGCTTTTTCAACCCTTGTGTCTAAGACAACAGCAATCTCATCTTGAAGGCTTTTTCTGCCCACTTGATTATTTCCTTTTTTTTTTTATTTCAGTAGGGAGGAACTCCTACCACTCTATCTTACTAATTTACTTACATAATAACATGTATGTCTAACATGCCAGACTGATTTCTTGGGTCTTTGTTATGATTTTTGTAATGTAATCCCCTGCTTGCTAAGACTGTTTTGAAAGAGAACTAGGAAGTAAAGGAGATGCTGTTATCCTTAATGTTATACTGGTTTCCATTGCAAATTTACATATTATACTCAGGATCCCATTTTAATTCTTGCAGAGCCTGTAAAGGCAGAGAGCTGGATGTGTGTGTGTGGCTGTAAGGAAAGAAACTTGAATGAAAGACAGACCAGAAGATGGAGTAATGTAGGAAAATGGGGCATGCCACTTACTGTTTTGTCTTTGTGCTGTCAGTGCTGGATGGAGAGTCACTGCAGCGCTGCTTCTTTAACAAGCTTCGGGACGTTTGCTCTGAGTGGCAGAACCAGTTGCCACCACTGAGGCCACTGAAGCGATTCCTGCTTGTTTCCATCCATGCCATCCGTAACACCCGACGGAAAATGGAGGACCGCCATGTTCTGCTCCCAGAGTTCAACCATCTCTTTGGTTTGTCAGTAAGTCTGGACAAAATTGGGGAGGCCAGTTTGCTTTTCAACATTTCTGTAAGCACAGTGGCCTAGTGATGGGTGATCTGTGAAATCGTAAGGATTTGTTGCCGCAAGTAATTTATCGTATCAGTGCCGGAGCAAAGACTGACTGACTCAGATTGCTGGGGGCTCACTTCTGCCCTTATAAACAAGTGATACAGGGACAATCTTGTGACTTTGGTTTTCATGTCATAAGTGATACAGGCAGATGGGAAGTTCACCTAGTGTTTACGTTGCTGGGGTTACAATGTTCTTGTGACTGCTACAACTTACGTATTGATTGAGAGCAGCCCTGAGGAGAAAGACTTGGGGGGGGTGTTGGCAGGAAGCTCAGTGTTACCCAGCAATGTACACTTGCAGCCCAGAAAGCCAGATGTGTTCTGGGCTGCATCAAAAGCAGCATGGGCAACAGGTCAAGGGAGGGAATTCTGCCCCTCTACTCTGTTTCTGTTAGACCCAGCCTGGAGTGCTGCATCCAGCTCTGGGTCCTCCAACATAAAAATGAGATGGACCTGCTGGAGTGAGTCCAGAGGAGGCCAGAAATATGATGGGGAGTGCTGGAGCACCTCTGCTGTAAAGACAGGCTGAGAGCTGTGGTTGTTCAGCCTGGAGGAGATGAGGCTCCGGGGAGACCTTACAGCACCTTCCAGTGCCTGCAGGGGCATACAAAAGGGGGGCTTTTTACAAGGGCATGCAGTGACAGGAGAAGGGGGATTGGCTTTAAACCAAAAGAGGGCGGATTTAGATGAGATATTAGGAAGAAATTCTTTACTGTTTAGGTGGTGAGACACTGGCACAGTTTTCCCAGATAAACTGTGGCTGCCCCATCCCAGAAAGTGTTCAAGGCTAGACTGGATGGGGCTTGGAGCAACCTGGGCTAGTGGAAGGGGTCCATGCTGGAACAAGACAAGCTTTAAGGTCCCTTCCAACCCAACTCATTCTATGATATTGAGAACAGAAGGGGGAAGAACAGCAGTTGTGTAAGTGCCAATTAATGAAACTGCTATGGGACTACATAACCAGCATCTGCTGTTTCAATTCCAGGTTATTTTCAAGGACATTAAGTGACTAACAGCAAACAAAGAAAAGTAATTTCCTTACAAAGTAGCCATTTTATCCATTTTGTACATGTGTAAACAGACTTAAATTGCTGTTTGTATGGAAGACAGCCCAGAATAAAGCATCTTTGCTATTTGGTACCAGTCTGTGAGCTATTTTGTTTTTGAACATGAATGTCTTCCTCTTGCTCCCTCCCTCCCTGCAAAAGGATGATGTTGATCGCGCTTTCTTTGCGGTGTTTGATGGTCATGGTGGAGTTGATGCTGCCAATTACTCAGCAACCCATTTACATGTAAACGTTGGGTTACATGAAGAGATTGTTCAGAATCCAGCTGAGGCCTTGAAATGCTCTTTCCAGAAGACAGATGAAATGTTTCTTTTCAAAGCCAAAAGAGAGGTGAGTGGGTAGAGATTAATTCCATTGTATTTAAATAACACTGAGAACTGTTGGACAACGTGGTATTATCCAGAAAATTCTGACAGTACGGTTTCTTTGAATCACTGACTTCTTGATGAAATTATGCTATGTATAAAGGTTTTCTTTGATCACATTATTTCTTATTTTGAGGAAAACCAAAATGACAGTGCTTGGAAGTTCAAGATGAGTAATTGAAAAGAAGTGTTAAAGGAATTTAAATGACTCCGACATTCCAGTTATTTGAGAGAACACTGCTGCCTCTTTACCTAAATTGGGCAGTCTCTAGATGTTCTGTTTTCCTACCTTTTACCTGGAAAAGAGATTTCTCTCTTCCTGATAGTACAGTTGCTGTCTTCCTCTTTCTCATCCCACCATTATTGTCTCAGGTGGTTGGTTGCAAGTGAAAAATGTGTTCTGTAATTTAAATCAGACTCTTCAGTTCACTAAACTTATTGATCGGCTTTGAATCTAGTTGGTACAATGAACATTCTTGCTTCAAATCTACATAATGGGAGGATGGTTTATTGCACAGGTTAATGAGGACTCTCTTATCATAGCAATAGATAGAAGTATTCATTGTTAATATCTTCATTCTTGTCAATGAAGTACAAAAGAGAGACCAGCATCTTCATGAGGTCTGACTCACTAATCTTTACAGGGAATGTAGGACTGTTGGATTCTTTCCTTTGTTGACATTCTGATTTAAATGTTCAAGGATAAGGGGATCTCGGCTGAACCAGGTGTCTGTAGTTGCTAGCCTGGAGAATTTGGAGAGACCTGTATGTGTTTGAGAAATGTTCATACTACTGAAATTCAGATCCTCTTGCTTTTCTGCGTGTCTCTGTGTTTTGAACAATATAGCTCTTAGTCTCCTAGAGCAGTTTTGGAATTAATAGCAGAGAAGGAAGAACATAACAGGGGCAGTATGAGCCATCTGCATATTAGAAAATGTGTTTGCAAGTAGTTTATTTCAAGTCTGTCTGCTAACTTGTACCTGTTTTCCAGGTACCTGAATTATGATTAGCAGGTCTCTTCTGCTGCATTTAGTGTGATTAAACCTAAGTTTGCAATATTGCTATGTATCCTAGCAGGGCTTGTTGAATATTCACCTACCATAGCTGTTTTCTTCTGCAGAAGCTGCGGAGTGGCACAACAGGTGTATCTGCGCTGATTGTAGGGAACAAGCTGCACATAGCATGGCTGGGGGACTCACAGGTAATGCTTGTGCAGCAAGGGAAAGCTGTGACGTTAATGGAACCTCACAAACCAGAAAGAGAAGTAAGTCTGACTTGGTTTGGTTTTGTTTTTTTCTTAAGTATATGGAATCAAGCCTTAAGTGTTTGGTGCTTTACGTAATGACACATATTGTGTGGTAGGATCCAGAGAATTAACAATTTCTTTTCTTGCATCTACTCCTGTGTCTTGAAGAGGTGATCCCTACACCTTGCCTGCTTCAAAGTACTGATGGTTCTGGTAGTCCTGATTTCAGTTCCTGCTCAGACTGTTCAAAATTTTAGCAATTAAAGACTTTCACAGGATTTTCTCGTGTGTGAATTTAAATCTGCGTGTTACAAAACAACTTATTATTTTGAGATTAATAGCTATTTAAAATGCCATCATAATGCAAGTCTTTCGTAACATGCTGTACTGTCATTGAAAAGCCAATGATAATCTACCGACCTAACTGGCTTAAAGTGTATTGCATTTCCTATCTATCTTAAATAGCCACATATTTTACCACATGAAATTGGATGGGTACCTTGTGAATTTCACTAGCATTGCCTGACCCTTTGCCTTCGTTGCTCGAATAGTTGCAATAACTGAGTAGTTAAAGAAGTATCAATGCGAATACTATTGTTACTTAGTCTAGTTATCTTGTATTTCATTCCACACAGTTATATATTTACCCAATTGCTGTATGGAATGGGAAGAAGTGGCAGGAAAGAGTACTTATCATTATAGGAAAGAACATGATGATACAAAAACTTTAGAATTCTACTTTTTTTTGTGGACAAGCCTTAGCATGGCTGTAAAGGAGTGGGTTGTTTCCAGTAAACCTAAGTGCATGTTTCTGTGCTAGGTTCAGATGTGTGTGTTTGCTATATTCATAGTATAAATACAGAAGCTGAAGCAGCATAGAAGACTGCATTCTGCTGTTTTTCAGGATGAGAGAGCACGGATTGAGACTCTGGGTGGCTGTGTAACCTACATGGACTGCTGGCGGGTTAATGGCACCTTGGCTGTTTCCAGAGCAATTGGTAAGATAAACCACCAGAATTGTACAGTTGGAATGAAATTTCACTGAAACACACCATCTGAGACTGTTTACTGTAACTGGTGTTTTGTTTGGCATCATCAAATAGTAAGTGACTTATTGTCTTTTCCATAAGGCAAGCTTACAGCTGTGGGACTTACACAGCTTGCAGCTAGATCATCCTGTTTGTTTTACCATGAGCATAGAATATGGTTTTGTTTTACATACTAGCCGTGATGGTCCCAATTCTTTTCTACTTCTGAGTTTGTTGCTCCTTTTAGATGTATTTGGTGCTGTGGTGTTTTACAGTAGCTTAACAAATGTACAGCAATAAATGTTTATCAAGCCTTCTTTATGTGCCTGAATGTCTGCTTAGTGGGAGTTTTATCCACTTTAATATTAATATATCTTTCTCCTGACTTCACATCTTTCGCCTTAAGTCAGATTGCTGAATCCTCCTTCAATTCACACATATCCAGCAATTTAAAGCATTTTAATTGTAGCATTCCAGAATCTTATTGAACAAGCTGATTTTGCTACTCACCAGTTAGGGCAAAAAGAGAAAAAGCCCTGAGCAATTCAGTAGATAACTGTAATGTATGAGTGGAATCAATATCAATCAGTAGAAATTTGTAGAATACTATTTGAATCAGTAGCAACCCGTATTTAGTAAGTTTGCCCATAGGAAACTGATGAGCTAAGCACAATGAGCAGATCCTTATGGCATTGTGCTGTATATCTGGATAGCTGAGAAAAATCTAATTTTCATAGACTTCTGAAGGCTGTACAAGAGGCACACCTGCAAAATCAAGGCCTGACTATTTCCTCATCCAAATATATTTCTGAGAGAAAAATCTTTGGAATAATTTCCTTAGTTTTCCCTGCAAAATTAGGAAGGCATAAATTAAAGTAACTCCTTTACTTGAAAGTAACTCCTCCTACCAAAACCTACTGGATTTCAGTAGGTTCCAAGTGTTCTTAAAGCAGCAAAGGTCCATTGCTTATTCCATAGCTTTTGACTACTCTTGTCCTGCATCAGGTACCTCTGTAGTATGATTTGTCTGTCCTTGAGGGTAAAAGTAATGGGTGAGTGAAGAAGTAACTGTTTACATTTGAAGTAATAAAGCCTTTGTTTTGATTGTTTTTCATAGGTGACATATGCCAGAAACCCTACATCTCTGGAGATGCAGATGGAGATTCCTTTGAGCTGACTGGTTCAGAAGATTACTTGCTCCTAGCCTGCGATGGATTCTTTGATGCCATCAAGCCATATGAGGTCGTAGACTTGGTCCTGGATCATTTAATGCAGACGAAAGGAGAGGGGCTCACAGCAGCAGAAAGACTGGTGGCTGCTGCCAAGGAAAATGGATCCAGTGACAACATCACTGTTCTAGTAGTGTTCTTGAGGGATCCTCAGGACATCTTGGCAGACTGTCTCAGAGACCCTAAGAGCCTTGGGACTGATGATAATGCTCAGAGGTCACCCCTTAATTTCCTCAGCTGCGAGGCAGCAGCCACACAGTGACAGAATCTGTTTAGTCCAGAACATTCAAATAACTTCACATAAGAAACTGCTTTCCACTGAAGAAGCCTCTAATACAGCAGGCAAAACATATCAGGAAAAAATGACAAATGGACAAACATTGAACAGAAAGGCAAGACTCCCTCTACTGAGTTCCCATTTGTCTTTTCCTTTGTTCCTTCCCCCTTCCCTGAAAAAACAGTGAGCAGACATGGAAATCTGAACAGCTGTTTTGTCTCTGGGAGCAGACACTGAAGTGTGTCCCAGGGCTGCTGGTCATATCCCTCTGCCCTGGAAGTGGTAAGAAACCATAATATGTATAAGCTAATGGGTGAGAATACCTGTTCATTAATTCTGAGTGAAAATTCAAATTAGTGCTTCAGAAGCACTCTGTATGTTGTTTTTAATTGTGATGTTACTTGGGAGATTGAAGGGGAGGAGCTCTCCCCATCACAGAAAAGCTTGTTACTGTGTGTTCTGTAGGAACAGGCTCGGTGAGTGTGGGACTAGGTGACACCAGTATGCTCTGTAAGGTGCTTTTGGTTTGTACCAAAGATGTGGCCCCTTTATTCGAACAGGAACATTTAATTTTGTGTACATGGAGAGGAGAAAATGAAACTGGATGCTCTGGAAAAAGAGCAGGAAAGCTAACTAGAAATATCCCAGGGAAAATAATATAAAATCAACTGCTTTCTGGGATACTCTGGTTTATAAACTGGAATCCAATGTACAACTGCACTGGATTATTTCTCCCTAACAAACATGCTTTATTGGATATCTGGCAACCTGAAAAGAAAGGACCCCTCTTGTTGTAGTTGAGAGACACCTTTACAGTATGTGTGCTCAATCAGGTAAATGTGCTCTTCCTGCCACTAATTTGTGTACTATAACAAAGGAAAATTTTATTTTTATTGTGTTTGTTAATTTTCTGAGCTTTACAGTTGGAGGAATGTTTTGCAGTGTTACTTTGTTTTGTTGTGGTTTTTATTTAAACTGGAATTTTAAAGTGGCTCTGTCTTTATTATCTGGTGTAAAAAAACTGACTACCCTCAAGTGCCTTAAATATTTCACCCAGGGATTGCTGGTTGCCTCTCATATTTTGTTGAGCCAGTTTATAGTGTTTTTAAAATGTGACTTTTTTTCTTTCATTAATGCACTTAAATGTTTCAGTTTCTGTGAATGATTTCAGTGGGAGCTGGGTTTCAGGAAGACATCTCCTTCATTGTTGCCAAATCTTGTGTATTGCAGTAAAAGTTTTACTGTTACTTAGCCCCTGCCCAGTGCTAAAAGTTCCAGTGAGTTATCATAAAAGTAACAACCTGAATCATTCTGCCAAGTTCACTTCTGACCTTCACAAGAAAATTTAGTAACACAAATTAGAAACAGTTTAATAACAGTTTTTATTAGCATATGGTTAATTTGGCCATACTTCATGACCTTTTGGGTCTAAATAACTTTCTAAGGAACTGTAAAGCCAATGTGAGGATGAAAGAGTCTTTATGAATGTGTGAGGTGTTGTGCAACTGTTCTGTGCATTATGTGCTAGAGCCTCCGGGTATGTTTTGTCTTGCCTGGCTAGCAGGACTCAAGGTCTGAAGGCTCAATGGTTAATTTGGTATTAATTTCTGTGTCTAAACAAAAAGCGCTATGCATCTGGCAGCAAGATTGTCTGCCTAATTTAGAGGCACATTTCACTGCAGTATGTTAGTCCTGTGGATTAAAATGAGTTGAACATTAATGTTGCTTGGGGAGGAAATTTAGGTAGAAGAGTTGAGATGGCTCAGAGGAAGAACAGAGCAGCACTGTTTATGTGCACAGTGTCTGTGGATCATTCCCTGGTGTGGGGGATGCAGTGACCTGAGTGAGTTGAGGTTTTTGCTGGATTACTACAGATGATTGTACAGCTTCATGTAGAAACTACTGCCTCATTGCACAGCAGCTTGGACAGTGACTACCTTGTTTGGCCATGCAACAGGAGCTTTTCTTCCCAGAAGGTTGTAAGCAGTTTTCCATCCTACATTTTGGTGTCCTAAAATAGGTGGAGAAGGCTCTCTGTGATGGCAGCCTGGCAGGGGAGGTGTAAGTTTCTGTAGCAAACCTACTTCAGTTAAGGGAGCTCTTAGAATGCACAGTAATCCCTTTGGATTTTTCATCTTATCTCTCTTTGGTTTCTCACACAGATATTCAATGTCATACTAAATTCTGATGCCCACTAGTGCCTCTTGATGTCTTGGAAATAGTTCTTATTATTAATATAGTAAGAATCATATATATAGAATTATTTCATTGCTATCTGAGGTTTATTAGGAGAAGAGGAAGCTACTGTATTTATGGAGGGAGGTTTGAAATGTTGGTAAGTTCATGTATGGTTTAATTTCCTAAACTTGCCAAATTTCCTCAAATGTGGAGGGGACTGAACAAGCCAAATTTTGTTTAATGATCCTCTTACTTCAACCTTTTCTGGGCAGATTTGCATTGCAGAGGAAACAAAGTCTTAAGTCTTTTGAGGGATACTTACAGCTGTGTGAGAATATCCCTTCTTGTTTCAAATACCCTGTCTTTGTTTTAAAGATGATCTATGGGAGCTAAGTGAAATGGGCCTTTAGAAAGCTGCCTGTGGCAGTCAAAAGTTTTAATTCTCAAGCTATGGTCTAGGGAAGAAATTCTGCATTCTGAGAAGCTGTCCCTTACAGACATAGGTGTGTTGATTCTGAGTGCCTCATTTCTTTGAGATGCAAGTGGATAGGAACAGCTTTTGGGAACTCATTCAGATTACAGTGTGGATTAAAAGTATTTCTTATTTTCAGAGACTTCTTACTAGCTTTAAAAAGTCTGGTCAGGTCTACAGGAGTTGTAATGGGCCAAAAAAAAGGCAGTTTGTATCCCATCAGTGCAATAAAAAGGTCTTAAAGTATCATCTGCAGGAAAATCCAAATACATTTGTAATTCTGTTTAGTGAGTATCCAACATATCTTTTGCTTATTATTCATACTTCTGCCTTTCCTTCCCTTCCCCCCATTCTCTCCTACAAAGACACATACCTAAGACAGTGAAGTCTTCTGGGTCTGACATAGACAACATTAAGATTTTACAAATGACATTTGTTGGAGTGCTCATTTTGGCTTTTTTTTTTCTATTTCTGAGAATACAGATGATAGAAATGCAGGAAAATTTTTAGAACAGAGGGAGATTAAGTAAAATCCACCCTCTGAGTGATGGAGGAGTGAAAGAGAGAGACAGGAATGCATTTAAGTATTATTAATGCCTATTTTAAAAAGGAAGTGGGCTGGAAAATAGAGCTACAAATGTCAGTTCTTCAGAGCAAAATACCAGTGCTTGAAAGAATTAGAAACACACCCATTAAAAAGGGAGAACTCAGCTGTGGTAACTGTCTTCACACAGCCAAGGAAGGAATCACACTAAAAGTGTCCAGGGTGACTTACTGTGACCCCTCACCACTGCCTTGGAAGCTAATGCCTCTAAAAGGATTTTTCCAAACATCCTCAAGTGTAAGGTGGTGCTAAGATGGAGCATCCAGTGCCTGCAGTCCCTGGTCACTGTGCCACTGCTGCTGTGAGTAAACGTTGTGCAGTGTGTTAATGAATCCATGCGGCTGGTGAGCTCTGGGAAGATGAGTAATTGGGCACAGAGTGGTTACAGCCGAGTTGGCAGTTGAATAGTGTTAATCACAGTGATGACTTTAATAGCATTTAATAGACACTTACTTGAATTCAAAGTCAGATGAGATACTGCTCTTTTAAAAAAGCATTTCTAGTGCCATTAACTTGCTGTCATGAAAAGCCACTAAAATTTCCATTTTTTTGTTGAATGTTGAGAAAAGTGCTTCTCTTGCTTTCTGAATTCTGGAGAGAAGTTGGCTGTTTGCACTGGAAAACCCGTTTTCAGTTGACAGCTTAAAGCAGCTGTTTGGTGTTGAAGCTTCCGTCCACGCAATCCTTTAAAAACCGATAAAAAGATGTTTCCAAAACAAGTGGCTAAGGAGCACAGGTATTTGTAAATGGCATTGCACAAAAGGTAACCAGCAAAACCCCTCAATCTAGAAAGGGCATAGACAGTAAAGCCTAAATCAAGATTCTGACTCCATTCTGTGTGAGTTTGACTCTGTTGGGTAAGTTATTTGTATTCTGATGGATGCAGGTGCTGACTGCACAGCACTGGCCATGGTCTGTTTCTAGTCTTACAGTACTGAAGTACCAAGAAAATGTTTCAGGAGAAGGTGGGGGGATGTTAGCCACAACAGAGCAGATTGCAGATGATTCGTGTATAATTTAGCTCTAGTTAAACCTGAATTAAATTTCCCTGCTTAGTTCTATTACTGTCCCTTTTACAATTGGGCCCATGCCTTCAGGCAAAATCCTGCTAGGAAGAAATGGTCCATTCCCCCTTTGTGTGGAGCAAATGCCATCCCGGAAAGGTGGGAAAAGGAGAAAAATAAGCTTTGAAGTGAGTGCAGAGCTTCCTAATCTACATGAAGTCATGTATTCTCCCTGAACACAAGTTTATAGCAGGTCTGGTTGGATTTGAACAGTTCTGCTGGACAGCAGTGGGGTTTCTGCCAAGCTAATCATAACCTTTCAAACAGCACTAAAACCAAGAGGTTGGTCCTCTCTGCATTACTAAATCAAGCCACTGAACCAGCCAGCCCTGTGGAGTGTTTGCTTTGCAGTGTTGACAGCTCTAAGAGCTAAACCAGACACTTTCTGCATGTGCTTTGGTTGGGTTTAATATATTTCTTGAATTTTAGTTTATCTAAAGCTATTTTTATTGATATCAGTCATGTCAGCTGAAAAGTAATCAAATGGAGACATGAAGGAGTGACCAGACCTCTGCACATCTCTGTCAGACACTTAAGATGCTGCCTTAAAACGAGCTGGTAGGCTCTTGTGGTAACTTACCTCTGAATGGAACAGGAACCCAAAACCTTATAGAGAACCACTAGCACCTTTATTTTGGTGTCACCCATCAGAGGCTGAGCACTCACA